GGGGCCGGGGGCGGCCGCTCCGCTCCGCTCCGCTGTCCCCTCGGTGCCTCCCGCCCGCTGTTACCTCGTGCCTCAGCACCGCAACTGAGTCCTGCCGGCCGTGGCTTCTGCTGGGGTCCTGCCCTGGGAGGGCAAGGCAGAATGCGGAAGACAATTTCCTTCCTTTTGGTAGCCATAACACATGAACCTAGTATTGATCCAAATCCCTTGGGATTCAGATAACCTTAAAAATAAAAATGTCTCTCAAAGTGATCCGTTTCCTGAGGCGACCAGTGTAAGGCCACGCCAAGCTCAGGCAGCCCCTCATAGTGATCTTGTGCCTTGGCCGGGCAGGGCAGCGGATGCATCTGGGCTTTCCGGAGCGGGAGTCTGTCCTGGTCAATACACGGGCTTTGGGGTAGGGCCTTTCCTCTGTGTCCATTCACAAGCCTGTGTGGCAGGAAAAAAATGAGAACCTGGAAAAAAAATGAGAAACTACCGGGGAAAGTAGCCCCAGCAAAGCAAACGTGAGGAATCACCTCCTCAGAGAGAGGTGAAATGCCTTTTTCTCCTCTCTTCACATCTCTTTGCTCTGGAAATTAAGATTAATACCATAAGAGCCCTTTGCTTGCCTTAAAACTCAACACAGCTGTAACACCTACACTCTGCTGCCAGCCCCACGTTTCTCCTACATGGCAGAGATGTTGCTCAACTATGTCCATGAAGGTGCTGAGCCTTCTTACCCAGACCCTTGTGGGCCTGAGACTGTGGATCTAAGCAGTAAGGCGCTAGAAACAGGACTGTGGTCAACAAGTGCATCCCCCCAGCAAGGTGGAGGGCTTTACCGCCTAGGCAAAGCTTGTCTGTCTAGGAGACAACTTTCTTAGAGGGGAAAACAACCTGCAGCTCATCACAACTCCTTTCTCCTCCAAGTGCTAGGTACAGCTCACCGTGTGATTTTGGGTATAGACACCATAGCACCGTATACGTATTCTCCATACGTATATACTGCATATATATTATAGATACAGTGGAGCCGCATGGTTTGCAGAGCTTCTTTCTCCCCCAGCCTAGCACAGTCCAACCTGGTCTAGAACCCAAACTGAAATGACGGTGACATTATAACGTTACATGCAAGTAAATCAGACAAGGGGAACCTTAGGAGTAACTAGCTTGGAGGCAGCAACATGACAGCTATTTTGCCTTCAGGATCTAGGATTTCTGCAGGATCTTGTGTGGTGCCATTTGGAAAACTAGGATGCCTGAGGCTAGAAAGCAAATGTGCAATGGGGAATCTTGCAACATTTTTTACGTAGTCTGTGATTACTCAAATTGATAAACATGGTGGTTTTATACTACCTGACAAATTCATTCAGGCAGTTGTAAAATGGTGTCTTTCCCAAGGTTCAAAGGACAAACAAAAACAATATATAGCACTTTGTAACAGGTTGTCTACATTTTCCTGTCAATCACTAGTGTGCAGCAGTTGGACTAAATTTGTGAGAGGGTAGAAAGAGATGGTCCTTTTTTGAGAGCATCAGTCCTCAACGGAAATGGTGATACCAGTGTTTGTAACTTGGGTCCTACTTTAAGCAGGGTGATGTAGCTCAATACAATATAACAACTGTCTGGCTAGAGATGGAAGTTGCTCTCGGAGAGAGGAAAGAACTTCCACAAATCTGTAAGTCTAGGTGCAAGTTAGATGGAAGAGTTTGTCTGAGGTCCTTAGATGGTGGGGAAACTTTGGCTCAAGTTTTAAGTCAGGATGTCTCAGCCTATACTCCAACGGCTGCCTCCCTATATTGTGCTTATTTTAACATAATGTTGCAGTCCCTGTTTGCACCAAAGTTTGTTAACAGCACTGTTTGGAGACAGGATTGTGAATCAGAAATGATGGGCAAGGGCAGAGCAGGACATCTATATCTCCGTCCTTTCTCCACATTTTATTTCTCTTTCATGGAACTCATTTGTGCAGAAACATCCCAAAAGAATGAAAACCTTCTCTTTCAAATGAGGACCTCAAACTACCAGAAGGTGGCATCAAACACACATGATGGGACATCAAAACTCTGTTAGATGTCCTAAACCAAGCTTTTTTACGAATATTGTAGAAGCAAGGTCTTAATTTTCCAAATCTTCCTCACACATAATACTGATGTGTATAATCTCCCTGTCTTGCATTACTAAATACCACTTTACAGGAATAAATAAATAAGAATCAAGATATTTGCTCTGAAGCAGGTCAACACAGCACTTTTACAAATTCAGATCTGTCCTCACCAAAGCAAGGGAAGAACGAATGTGGCTTTTAATGACAAATGTCTTGGTGAAAGAGGTCTGCAATGGGCTTCATTTTCCTGAAAAGGGAGCTATGGCTTCGAATGTTTGGTTAGCTTACAGCCGCAGGAGGTTGCCAAAGGTCTCCCCTCTCTCTCTCTAAAGTCTCCTTGCACAAGGCCAAGGCAAGCTCTTGGCATACTGGGTGGGGTAACGCGTGTGCGTGGGTCGTCTGAAGGCACTTGCTTTGTGGCAGCCTAAAGTCCGTAACACCGGGTATAGGAAGTGGTGTCTTCTCTAAGGGGTCTCCATCGTTTCCTCCAGAGCCCACAGTCAGGCAGCAGCGAGTGGCCTGTGTTGTCCCTGGAGGCGCCGTTAGCAGAATCCCTGTGCTGCTCCTGTTCCCGGGATGGTTGGAGGGATGGTTCGTGCCTTGGGCTCTCCTCAGTGGGGCATCTCACTGCCCCGCCATTCGAGTGGGAACACGCTGCCTGCACTGATGTCTGCTGCAGAAAACAGGGAACGTGGTCATTCCCTTCTGGATAGGAGCAGACACTCTTCAAGCTCTTGCTGGAAAAGGCACATTTACGATGATTATATAGTATCGCTTCTTAAGAGAAGCCCTTGTGCCTGAGGGCAGTACCTGGAAGGGAAGCGGCGAGCCGCGGCTGGGAGATGTGACCGCACCGCGTGGGCAGACAGAGCAGTGCTTCAGCTGCCAGCCAAGCGAGGAGCCAAGGCTCGCGGTGTGACGGGGCACTTTGGGTACAGAGTGACCTTGGAGGCTTTCACTGATATGAGGCATTCAATTTATGTCTTCTTCTTTTAATGAAGATATAAATTAAAAGATATATTACTCATACAGAGAGCTATGTGTGGCACCCTGAAGGCTCAGGTGCCAGGAAGATGTTGCACTGGGTCCAGGGCCACGGGGGCTGCTGGTGTTACTGATACAGCGTTGCTTTGGTTTGTGTTGGCACATCCTTCTGTCCTAGTCCTTGCATGCCAATGACAAACTGAGGGCCATTGCAAGGGCAAACCTGGCTTCAAAATTAAAAGCTCATGGTTACCTTAATAACTCAGTGTAGGCTTTAGTCTCCTCTCAAAAGCAAATGATCAGAAACTGGACCTCCCTTGTCTTGCAAGGCTAAAAACACATGTCCATGTAGTGCATGGATTTCTCTCTCCTTATGCCTCCTCTCCATTGGAAGACTTTATTTGTATTGCCCTGCCACAGGAGTTAGAGGTTTTCCATCTTCCCCCTCATTCTCCAACGACCTCCTCTCCCTCTCGTGCATTGGGGAAGCACGTACTCTGTCTAGGATGACACAGAAATGTAGAGTGAGAGGGGATACCCGGTCACCGAGGTCAGCTCCCCTATATGCACAGCGTCCCTGTGTGCACGGTTATCAGGAAGGACTACAGAGCTTCTTCTCTGCACGTCCTTAAGCTGTGAAATGCTCCTCAGTACCCTACTGCATGTCCAATAAGTAGAGTTAAAGAAAAAAGGAAAGAAAAGAAATGGACCTGACAGGCTGCCAGCTCGAGTTTCCAGGCCAGACCACAGCTGAGTGCTTCCAGCAGCTCTGGGTCCCCGCGAATCCCTGGCACATCTTCCAAGCCCGCGGAATCCCAACATGAGCAGCTTCATTGTAGCCGCAGCACAATTTGCCGTGACTAATTAAGCATATTGATAGCTATCATGTACTTTGCTGCTACATACAACCAGGGAAGGAGGAAAGCCCGGGGCCTAGCTGGGTTCCAGCTCACTGAGACCGAGCCCTGGACGTGCTGCTGGTCTACCTGGTGCCAAGCGCTCTTCCATCGCAGGAGGTGATGAACACCACGAGCGTCAGAACATGGCAAGGAAACTTGCCTCATTTGCCACAGTTCCTCACCAATTACAGACGTTTAATGCTGGGTGTAGGGTTGTATTTGTTTCTTGTAAAGAACATAGTGTTTGGCAAAAGAGGCGAGTGAGAATGACAACTGTGTACACATTTCACATATTTCTCATATTATTTCTCCTCCGGAGAAGAACAGAGCTGTTATTAATAATCACCTCGCCAAGTTTCTGAATTGATGTTTTGAAATAAGCTGAGTGTATAATTTAAGAACCACAGGCAAGGGAGAAAATGTGCTTTCAATTGAATTTGAAAAGGGTGGAGAGTTGATGATGCAGAGAGATAAACGATGGTGCTTCTAGAGCGCCAGAACTGTAGAGAAGGAAGCTGTAAAACAGACATTTGCCAGACTAGGCAAAGCTAGAGGCAGCACAAGGGCTGGAGAAGTGAAAGGAGGTGCAGGAGGGAGACACAGAGACTGGTGAAATACAGGAGTCCCAGGTCCAGACTCCTTGTGTGTAGTTTGCTCTCGATGTGGGATGGAAAGGGGATACAGACAGGAATAGGAGGCCTGATGCTGTGTCTCTTTCTGCAGAAGACAGTGTGCTGGTCCTGGAGCCTGGGAGGCCTCGGGATGGCCCTGGGAAGGGACTACAGTAGCCAGGGCAAGGAGAGGAGCAGGCCATAGAAACCCAGAAGCTGGAGCAGAACTTGGCACGTAAGCACTGGTTGTTGGCTGCCAGTAACCGGAGAAGTTCAAGGAAATGTCATGCCTTACCCTCTCACATACATAGGGAACATACAGACGTAGACACATGGGGCATGTGTTGTTATCTAGGTGGCATCAGGCCATGCAAGGCACAGAGGGAGCAAGTCTGTGAGAAAAGTGTGTTCAAAATGTGCTGCAGGACAGTGCAAGGGCTTGGCCTTGGCAGCTTTCTATTTCAGTATTTCCTCTCTAGTAACCAATGACCTCCTACAGAAACTAAGCTGTTGTGTAAAAATGGAGGAAAGGAATGCGCTCTTTAGCCTTTATAACTGCAAAACTCCCTGGATTGTGACTCAGTGCAGGGATGTCTGAGTGGGCCTCTCTCCAGCCAGCCTGGAACAAGGACTCTGGTGCAGGAGCTGGGTCGTATTGCTGATGTCCAAGGAGCAAAATCCTCCCTGCAAAACCTTGCCCATGGCTAACCTGATAGCAGAGCTTTTCTCTCCTTGAATGTATCCAGTCGACACAATTAGCACTTCTTGTATTACACCAAATTCATATTTGTGAGCTGTAGACCTGTATGCAAATATTCTCTGCATGCTTCCTGGGACAGCACACTGGGTATCAGCAAGGACTGCTTGTGAGAGAGAAGGAAACAGATGGACAACAGAAAGAAACAGAATTCCGGGGGTACACTGCAAGTACCGGGCAGCTGCAATTGCAGAAAGGCTTTCTTATCATAGCACAGCCATTTAAAAAGAGCACCCAAACTTACACACTTAGAGGTTCGTTCCTCAGCATTTGTGTCTCAGCAGCCCCATTAGCCCTGGGGACCCTTGGGCAACCAACTGTGAACCCTGCACTTGGGCTGACCCACACCCATGACCATGGCCACCCTGGCTTGGATCGACAGAGCTGCCTAGGCCCTTGGAAGAGCCCCATGGTGACTTCCAGCCTGGCCTGCACCCACAGAAATACGTAATCTGCAGCTTGTTCCTGACACACAGGCCAGCCTGATCTGCACCCTGACCTGCTGACTTGACTTACTGGCTTGAACGCAGAGCGAGTCCTACTACTCTGTGAATTGCTGCGTCCTTCCTTCCAAAGCAGGCGATGCTGTCGCTGTGCTAGTGTATGCCAAAATGCAGTCAGTGTGTCAAAATTTTCCATCGCAAAACAATTCTTATGGGAGGTTTCTGACAGCCCAGTTCTTACCCGTATCCGTCTGATTAATGAGGAGGTGGTGGCCTTGCGGCATGACTCTGTTTTCTGTTGCAGATAACCTGTTCGAAGATAAGCTGATGATTCACTCGTCTTGCAATTAGATGTAGTTCTGATCAGTGGCAACGCAAGCACAGGATAGAGAAGCACAGCCCAGATCCTTTAAGATCATTGGCAGTTGGCAAAATATATCTGGGGATCCGGACATGTATTTAATGCGTATTATTATGTACTTCCAGACAGAGACAAAAGCCTCAGGCAAAAGACTAGGGAAAGGCTTTCTTTGTCTTGAGATCTCAAAAGGTATAAAGCGTTCTCTTATACACTTGCTTTTTGCATAAAACATCCAGGTCTCTAAAGATCTATCTTTAAAGATTACCTCTAAAGCATAGCAATTCCATGCAATTCCAGCATCACAAAACTCAGGGAGATGAATTTCCACTGTGGCCGTGCATAAATTTGTTCGTTGTTGAAATGGAGCCTGGGAAGTAACTGACGTTTTTATACTTTGTGTTTGCAGTGCCTTGAGTCTTGTATTTCACAAGAGAGGAGGAAGCACCACTGTTAGCTCCCTGGAAGCCTCTGTGTTTGCAAGGTTTGAACAGGCTGGGGTGTGTTTAATCCAAGTGAAGTCGCAGAAGATTGTGTTCTTACTTGTCCCTCTGCCAGAAGGTGCAACAGTAGCCCCTTGTTTTTATGTCTTTTAGTCTTTTTAGACTTTAAGCAGTTGACCTGCAAATAGCAGGGAGAGACACCGCTTAGGTACTGTCTATACGATGGCTATATGTTCACAACACAAGCCCTGGATTTGTCTGCTTGAATCAACAAAACTTGGCACTGCTGCAAGGTGCTCAGGAGAGGATTTTTACTACCCAGTCTCCATCCCTGCAGCCAACAAATCTGGTTGATGATCGTCAGTCGTCCAAGACAACTTCATGTTTTCAAAGCCTTTATCAGTAATTAGATCCATTCATGGTTCAGTTACAAGAGCACATCCGATCCCATCAGCTGTATCATGTTGTTATCCTGAAAGCCGTTAATGGGTAACATCAGGAATAAATCTGGCAGAACCTCATGAGTGCAGTAAAGATGTCCAAGCTAAATGGAGAGAACAATTAAATATCCTTCCTTATGCAACAATTGACCTTAATGAAAGTACTCAGCCTAGGTCCTAGTAGGCCTTGGTCCTCATGGAGTCCACAGAGAAGGACAGGACTTCCAGCAGGATTCAGGCACAGTGTGGGCAGGATCACACTGCAGAGCTCTCGGAGAGAGGGACCTCCGTTGTTAGGCTCTACATGCGCAAGAAGAGGGATGAAGATGAATTCAGGCCTTAGTGCCCTGCAGGCAGTGCAGTTTGCCATGGTGGCAGTGAAATCTGGATCACACCCACGGGCTAATAGCTCCGCTGCTGAACTAGCTTTCCTCTCACTCGGGTGTTAAACAAAGTTAAATACAATGACTCTTCCTGCAAAACTACAGCCATGTTTAATTACTAGTGTTGACATTACAATATCACTAGCTAATGCCAGCTGCAGGTGCAGACCCTGCTGTTTCAGGTGCTGTACAAACACACTGCAGACCAGTTCCTGCTTGAAGCGTGTGCTCGCTGAGCGCTGCTCTGGCAAGCAGGGCACAGCGTTACAGCCTTGGTCGAAATCAGACAAATCGTGTCCTATGCAGGAAATCCAGGTTGTCATCTACACTGGGTTTGGGGATTATATTTTTCAGTTTTGCTATAAATCAAGATTATATTTTCTAACCCTGTGAAATAAAGCAGTTGCAGCAGAGGGTCTGGCTTGAGAAAAGGAAGTGCCGATACGCCTGCAGTTATAGTTCTGCCTTTATGAGCTACAAAATCAGAAGTGATTTCTGCAAGTGGGTTGAAGGTGTAACAGAAGCAGCTTGGACAAGCAGCGCCGAAGAGGCAAGCATGGGAATGCGCTCAAGGAGCAGCCTTGCGCTCGGCAGCGGAACGTGTTCCGGACAGCTGGCCAGGAATACGCGTTGCAAGGCATGGGCCTTGGCCAAGGAATTTGCAATCCAACACCGGCAAACTCAAAACCAGGACATCATTGTGGGGAAGGAAGTGGAGAGTGCATGAAACAGGAAGGAAGAGAGGAGCAATAAACAGTGTTGCAGAAGCAAAATTGTGATGGAGGACTTTTATGTAGTGATTGACTGGCAAACAGAGATGGGAAGGAAAAGAGGCAGCATGAAAGGGAGAAAAAGAAAGAGGAGATAGGAGCTGAGAATCAATGGGAAAGGAGAGAGAAAATGAGTTTGATTTTGATTTCTGATCTTACAAATTGTGGATAAAACCCCCCAAAAAACAATTTAAATAAATGTTGTGAAAGCAGTGCTGTGAGAGCAGCCTCTTTGCAGTCCTGAGGGCTTCCAAAGGCCTGAGGGCTTTCTGAACTTCCTGGGCCATGATGCAATAGCAGGGTGAAAAATCAGGCAGATTGCCTGATGTTGCCCTAGTGCTCCCAGCAGCTCCATGGTTAAACAGTATTTCTCTCTAGTGATTGCTGTCTTCAATAATTCTAGTCATAAAATCCCATTTTCTTTGTGATGATACTATAACTCAATGAGCTGGAAATATTCCCAGAGTGGAAAGAAAACTGCTCCAACAAGGTTTATATTAGTTGTTTTAGAAGCCATTCTTAGAAAATGATACCAAATTATCTCAGAGCTAACTTTAAAGAACGGATCCTTCTCCTCCCCTTCAGGCATCTTGCGCTGAATCTCTGGTTGACCCACTTGACCTCTAGAATGTTTTTCATGGATCCTCCTAGCAGCTAGTAGATTCACTTGCTCCTCTCTTGTCTAACATGGCTGTCTGTCAGCTTGGCTTGGGCTCCCATCCCAACAGAAATAAGACAATGCTTGGAAGCAGGATACTAAAATGCCTGGCTCTTTCCTGTCATTTGGAATAACAGAACTTCGGGTGTTGCTCAGGTTAAGAGGGCTGTCCTGAGCTGACAGGGAGAAATTGCTAATACAGACCCCAAAGTCTGTCAGCTTCTCTGAGCAAAGCACTGGCCCTATCTGCTGAGACCTCAGGAGCCCCATCTCGACCTCCGAAGAGCTGCCCTGGAGAGAGGATCATTGTGTCAGAAAGTGCTCATCAGCTGACAAATGTGATATCCCGAGAGACTCAAGGCAATAACGTTCACAGGCAGCTCCAGCGAAAGGACAAGGTTACAGACCTTCAATAACAAGCAAGGCTCTGGACTTTACAGAAAGTCAGGGATGCTCCACAAGCACTGCAAGCGAGAAGACTGCACGCTCAGCCACTACCACCACTCCTTTAAATTGTTGGGGAGGAAGAAACCCAGACTCAGTAGCTGTGCACAACATCCAGGCCTCCCATAGCAAAATGGAACCACGGCATCTTTCTAGGACACTTGCAGAGTTCATTCCAGGCAAATAAATTTTGCAGAAGGGCTTAGCCAGTTGTGCGTGGCCAAAATGTGTTGATTTAGTTGAGTCAGCCACCCTTCCCTGCACCTGTCCTGTACCTCTGCTGATCATCAGCTGCGGCCTCTTTCCTTCTGCAGCCCAGAAGTTTAAGCAAACAGCAAACAAGAAGGGAGTAACAAGATGGTTCACTGCGTCCTCCTTCACTGAAGGTCTGTTGACTTTGCAGAAGCCATGTCACCCATTGAATCAGAGAATCACAGAATGGTTGAAGCTGGAAGGGACCTCTGGAGACCATCTACTTCACCCCCCGTGCTCCAGCAGAGATACCCAGAGCAGGGGCACAGGGCGGCATCCAGACGGGTTGGAAGATCTCCAGAGAAGGAGCCTCCACAGCCTCTCTGGGCAGCCTGTGCCAGGGCTCGGGCACCCTCACAGGAAAGAAGTTCTTCCTCACATGGAAATGGAACTGCCTGTGATTCAATTTGTACCCATTGCCCCTTGTCCCGTCGCTGGCCACCACCGAGAAGAGTTTGGCCACATCCTCCCTACGTTCACCCCTCAGATACTTATACATATTGATCAGATCTCCCCTCAGTCTTCTATTCGCTAGGCTAAACAGGCCCAGCTCGCCTGGAGAACATGGAGAAACCAGAGAACAAATCCCTAAGGAGTTTGCTGGTGGAAGTGTCAGGTAAATGGGCATGATTTCCTTTGGGGTTATGTTGGAGAGCTGTGAGTAGGTCCCTCACCACCAAGGGGTAAAAGGAGACAAACATTTACCAGTGCCGAATGAGCCTTCAGTTGTGTCTGAAACAATACCCAAGCAATTTGACTTTAATAAAGATGCACCTGATCTGAAGATTTGTTCCAAGCTCACCTTCCCCGAGTTCCCCTGCAATCACAGCCGGAATAAAGTGCATTCAAAAGAGCGTGTTAAAGTCATTAGCTGAAGATTGGCTGAGGAAGTTATCCATTCCCTGGCGATTAACCAGCAATTTCCTATCTCTCCTGGCATAATGCTGTATCCTCATTAGTCTTTATGAAGCATGTAGGGTGTGTATGTGCAGAGAACACGGTAATTGCTTTAATTACACTTTTTATTAGTAATTTTCATTCACTGTCAAGAACACTGCCTGCCCCTTCGTTTGTGGAGAGCAGTGTTCATCCTCTCCTTCCCAGGAACATGCTTTGCGTGAACAATTGCTCCTCAGACCCAGACCACATTTTTCTGCAGAAGACCACTATGCTTATGTGTTAGTGCATGTGTGTGAGTGCATGAAAAGAACCATCATGTTTTGCTCCTTTCTAAGCTTCCTGCAAAACTGCATCTCCATAACCACAAAGCAACTTAATTTTCATATGCCAACAGGCAATTTTTTTCCAGATTCTCAAAGTTGCTAATGTTGCTGCTGTCCTATGCTTCAGCCATTTCTTCAGTCTGATCATAATCCCCCCTAGGACTGGGGCGAAGGGAACAGGTTGACCTTGCTAGATTTGTTGCCAGACAAATTTTTAGGTAAATCACTTTACCTAAAAATGTTCTGAAATGTAGGTTGTAGAAAAAAAGATGCGAGGCAAAGCAGAAAAAGATGCTAGGACAAGGTGGCCAGT